AGGGTCCCTGGATAGTACCCAGCTGCTTTGGGACCGTCTGCCTCAGCTTTCTCCCTGCATGCCTAGCTCTCTGTTCAGAAGTCACCAGTCAGAGGTCCAGCACCTTCCACCCCAGACCACATCCCCATGCATTGCAGAGCCTTCCCACCCGCCTCGCTCCACTGTATGTGTTGTTGGAAGCAGAAAACCATACTTGTTTTCTTTCAAAAAACAATACTCTGCACTCTTGCATAGAAGGCAACTTAAAAAAAATTTTTTTGATTGTACTATTAGAGTGAGGCTCTTTAAAAAATAAAATATCTTTATATTTTAGCTTTTTAACTTTTTAAAAAGCGGTGCCCACATAAAATGGTTGGTGTTCACAATGTAACCCATTTAGGAAAAAATAGTTTTTGAAATGAACTTTAGCACAGTTTCCTTTGAACGACATAGAAGTAAACAGTTATGAACAGTGACAATTCATCTCCCAGTAAAGTTTTTAAAAATCAAAAAATAAGTAGTTAGTCATCAGTGTGACTGCCTGGGTCCTCCTCCTCCTCCTTCCTCCCTAACCCTCTTATCAGGTTTCTTTTTCACATAGACAGCATGGGGGAACTATCTGAGAACACGTGCCTTTCTGAAGGCTGGGGAGAGGGAGTCAGAACACAGAAGACATTGAAGAAAAGGCGCAGCAGCCTGTGCACCGAGAAGAACACGAGTTGATGAATTTCCTCGGGGCCCCAGGGATGGAGATGGAGACCCCAAGGATGTTGTAGCCTCGGGCATGCTGTCTCCCCAGCCCAGAGGCAGTCTGTGCATGGACAGTAGTCTGCAACTTTGCACAGGCCACATGCCCTGCTGGGGAACGAGTGTGAGGGACACGCATCCCCATTCGTGTGTTGTGTGTTACAGAAGATTCAGACACCAAGTGTGGTGAAGCTCAGACAAGTTGGCCTGCATTGCAAATCTGATCTCTCAGAAATAGGAGATTGTTCGCCCACTAGTGAGCTGCAGATGTATGCTTAACCTAGTTAAAAAAAAAGCTGAATTTAAGTAAATCTTTTCTTTCATAACATTTTTCCTGATTATAAAATGAATGCACTCCAAGTACAGAGATACCGGAAAATTCAGAAAAGTATAAAGAAAAGAAAAACCACTTGAAATCTTCCCACCCAGAAATTACAAAGAACAGCATAGCGAAGAAATTAAAGTCATCATATAATTCTGTCTCCATCCTCTGGAGATAAGCTCTCTTAATAGGTGTCCTTTTTGTCTATAAATGCACATAGGCAGACACAGCTTACAAAGATGGGCTCATACTGTGATGCTGTTTTTAAGCCTTTCTTTTTTAGTGTCAACATAATGAAAATGTCCATCACTAAATATCTATGACATTATTTTAAGAGTTCCAAAATAAGCAATTTTTCCAATCATCAGAAACTTATTTTGTAAAAAATATATGTATATATTTTGTGTGTGTGTAGTATTTTTTTAAGAGGAAAAAGAATAGAAGAATGCATATTTCTAATGAGAAGATGACTTCTTTGAATAACTTTTTTGCTTTGTACTTTCCTATATTTTTCCAATTATTACACTCCTCAAAGTAACCACAGCTATAATGTTGGTCTATTTCCGAGCAATTTTTAAAAGTATATTTTAAAACATCATTGGTGTCATGCGGTGCATAAAGTTTTCCATCCCCATTAAATCATCTAATAGTGTCCGATGGCTATTTCCTATATGATATTTTTTCATGTGGTGCTACTATGATTTTTTTCATTTCTCTATCATGGAATGTTTGTATTATTTATGACTTTTTTCATAGTATAATGCTGTGATGAATAATTATGTCCCTGAATTATTTTGTTTCTTTGTCTGAATACTCGTTAGAATTCAGTCACTGGGTCAGAAGACATAAAATTTTTAAGGCTCTCATTGCATATGAACAGACTGGTTTTAACAATTTCTGCTCATTAATTACTTATCAAATGAGGTCTTGCTCAATGATCATAGTAAAATGGGTGCTGCAGGTAACTTACCTTATTTTTAAAGCAGATCTTTTAGTCCTGTTCTTTGAAGTATTTGCAAATATTATACTTAAAGATTAAAGCCATGCTTCTTTCCCCAGAATTTTTCAAAATAATTTAAAAATGAAAAGGAAGCAGTTATCTTAAAGAAATTTTTTTAAAAAATAAAGAAAATAAAAAATATCCTATACCTACAATTACTGTTTTGCCGAATCTCCCTTTTCTATGAATTTACGTAGTGGGGATGAAAGTGTATGTAATTTTTATATCCTGCTTTTTAAATATGACATTCTATTGTAAGCATTTCTTGCAACACAGTCTTCATAACTATCATATTTAATGACTACAAATTAACCTCATGTACCACAATTTACATAACCATTCCCCTGCTGAACTCTTTGGTTATTTCCAAATTTTCTCTATTATAGTACTGTAGTGAATGTTGACCATTTCCTTAGGTTCGAATCCCTAAAGTGGATTGATTGGGTCTGAATTTAAACTTGGGTCCATTCAGAATTTAACTTGCACTGGTCTGTGTAGGTTAATTTTAACTATTGAAACTTGATTCCAGTGACCACGTGAACTTCGGGATGTTCTGGTTGGCAAAGCACCCAGTAGATACTCTGATGTCCTTTGTAACAAGGTGGTCAGGACACCGTCCTGTTTGCAAAATGAGCCTTTGGGGCTCCGGATGTTTCAGACTGTAGGGAAGTGTTCAAAAACAGAGCACTTTCCTTGGGTGCCCCGTCAGCACACAGTGCAGCATGCACGCAGCTGCCGCTCACAGAAACCTTTTATTAAACAGCCTTTGCCAACAAGGAAAAAAACCCAGAGGCAGGAAGGTAGTTATGTAGCCCCCTCCTTTTTTTTCTTTTCCTCCTTTTGTGAGAACATTGTCAACTCTGGATGGAAATGCATTTATGGTGTCTCTGCTGAAGCGACCTAGCGATTTCATTTTCAGAGATGTAAAATTTACATTTTGCAAAAGTTCGTAAATGCTTCTTTGTTGACCGTGAGCCATGTGGTTTGGCCCCTAGAGTTATCTCAGATAGCACAAATAAATCTGGCGGTCCCCACTTGTCTCACACTAAACATTCCCTCCTTCCCCCGTTGTCTCCCTCCTCGCAGAATTTCCTCTTGGCCTTCAGCAGCACAGACTCAGTCCTCTCTCATCAATATGCCCTGTTAACTGCTGCCAAACCTCCAGCACTTTAGTGCATATGTTCCCTTCATCATTTCTCTTTGTTCTAGAAGTCTGCATTCGGTTTCTGAACCTCCCTGCCTCCCCTTGCCTAATTCCACTGTCATTATCACTGGTTATAGACATGACCGTCTACTGTCTACCCTCAATTGCCTGCTGTGGAGAGAGCCTTCAAAATCTGCTCAAAATGTTCTAAGTCATCCCCTGCTTCCCATAGAAAAGTCGGTCCCCCGCCCCAGAGCCTGCGGCCTTAGGAGCCCAGTTGAAGGGTCGCTGGGTCTGCCTGGTGATCAGAGGCTCCTAGATGACAATGTTACCTCCCTTCAAGGACAAAGATGCCTTCTTAGGATTTTCTGCTGGTCCCACGCAAGAAAAGGACGCTTTATTCTTGGAGCCCGACAGCGTATAGGCACAGTCGATCTCAATGGGTTATTCATGGTGTCCAAGAGAAATACCTCTGGAGCTGTATTTCATGTGAGATGGAAGTGGGCTTGGCACACAGACAGTGGGCTGCCTGCTCCCGGGAATGCCCTGTGCCTGTCAGACCAGCCCAGCCCCTGCCCGAGGTGGCCAGGCTCTTCTGAGCAAGTAAGGGGGTCTTCTGGCTCCTCCTAACCGGGCCTGTGCCCTGTGAGACTGCCAGCCAGTGTGCACGGACAGGCGCTGTGTGTAGTTTCGGGGTTTAAGTATTTTTCTTTTCTTACCGTTTGTAAAGTTCCATCCAGTTGCCTGAGTCGGGAGGCGAGGATGAAGAACTATCACAGTGTGGGCTTTCCCCTTGGCGCCCGGTGCTGTGGGACCCTGGAATCTATTCTTGGAAACTTGGCTCGTACAAGATACCATGTCTCTGTCCTCCCTGCCCTTGCCACTTCCCTCCCCTAAAAATGTGTCTCAAAGAAGCCCCAGCAGCTGCACTGATGGTGTGCAAACCTGATTTTTGCTTTGTTTAGTAAATCCTACCGCGAACGATGCCTGCTCAGTACCTGGTCAGCAACTCCTGGGAATGCAGAGGAGAAGCTTCCTGACATGGAGTGAAATATGTAGAAAGGAGCTGGACGGAAATTCTCAGCTCAGAGTGAGGGTTTTTTTTTTTTCCCCTTTTGTGGAAAAAAAAAAGTTAATGTTGACTTGTTTGGTAGAGATACAGTACACTTTTTTACCTGTTCCTTAAAGGGAAGTTTGTATTCTTTTAAATAAAACCATTTTAAAAGCAGAACCCAAACCTAAAAGGATCTAGGGTTCTCCTGAGTTCTCAGAAGGTGTAGATTTATTTACTATAGTTAAAACATAATTAGTTCTCAGGGGATAGTGTGTCTTTTAAACGGCTTTATGGCCACCATATTAGTTTTCTGAATAATCAGAAACTTCTGTTATGATCATGTTCTCGTGTTCGGACAGAAACACACTGTAAGTAGAAACAAATGTCAGGAATTGCTAATTGTCACTTCAAGAAGGGACACCACTTCAGAAGGGGGAAAAAGGATTTGATAGGAAATTGCAAAGAAGTGGAATCTGACAGTGTCTTAAATAAACTGAATAACAGCTCAGGCGGGTACGTGTGTCCACCCCTGCCCATCTTTTTTGGCATTAGGTGGCGTTTCCTTCATCCCTCTTCTGCCATTCTCACTACAGAGGCTGGGCCTGGGGCCAGGATCCCTCGAAACCTGGAAGGTGGCCCTTCCCTACTGCCACACGCACAAATGAGTGCAAATGGTGTCCCCCACTGTGCCTGAGCTGTAGGTTCTCACGTCGTGTCCCTGTTCTGGCTGACCAATCTTTCCCACCGTTTGCAGGTTGATGTTTGAGATGCCGCAGGAAATGGGTTTAATAGCCATCGCAGCCCGCCAGACACAGGGCAAAGGTCAGTCATCTTTTGTTACTCTTTCTGTTGTTTTTGTTTTGTAAAATCTGTGACTCTCTGTGGCCAGAGAGCCGACTGATTGCGTGTGCTGATTATTGAAATGACTTGCATTAGAAGTTGTTTGTTTTCACACACCCCTAAAACAGAGGGGGTGGGGAGGGAAATTGATAAGATTGAACCATAGTAGAATTAAAGCATTCTCTCAGACTGAGATGCTTGTGAGTGACTTGACATCTGCTTGTGATGGGGTGTGTGAGTGTGTGTGTGTGAGTGTGTGTGTGTGTGAGTGAGAGATGGTTTTAATGTTCAGTTACTTGTATCTTGTAAATTCCTCTTTCTGACACATCCTGTGCATTCCAGTATGAATAATGACTATGTTATAGGGACATTTATTTTCCTGAATTTTCTCTGTGAGGTCCCTACTATGTCTGTAGCAAGTGTCACATGGAGGGGTCTTTCGTCTGCCAGCCCCCACCCCAGATGGCACTGGAATTTACATGGAGTGGGCACTTGATTGCAAAGTGCTGCCCAGAGCTTCCACACCACCTGCTGATCCTTGGAGGCAAGAAACCACATCCTCCCAGAATCCATTTGGGGTCCAGTCGCAAGCAGATTCTGTGCTTGGCCCCTGCCCCTCCCCACCCACAGCTGGCATCAGGCCGACCCAAGCTTTTAACTCTCAGAGGCTCTTATGCCTTTCTCAGAAGAAGCAACGAAATAAGAAATCCACTGTTTTCCACTTCTTTCTCGTGAGCATGTCTCTTGAACATAACTCAAAGAGAGAAAAAAATTCATTTTACTCAAGGCTGTGGTGCTCAATGTGGTAGTTAAAAAGGCATAGAAGAAGTTTGATTATTCCTCTCATTTTGATTATTTTATTTTCCTGACTTCTATTTTAAGAAATAATTCAGAGAGTTAATATCAGGGATCATTTAAAAAATTCAGCCTCTTTTTTTAAGTGATAATGAGATATAATTCACATGCCATACAGTACCCATCCCCCCACTTAAAGTGTTCAACACTGTGGTTTTTAATATAGTCACAGGGTTGTGGGAACATCACAATAGGGATCGTTTTTAAAAAGTGGCTTCCAGGACCTTTCCTGGACCAGTATAGATTCGGTCCTATGTCCCCAGTGTCTCTTCCGCCTGCATTGCTATATGGCGAGAATTAAACTAAGAGTGATGTTGGGACACTGTAAGACTTTGAATCATCAAAATATAAATGATAGGCTCACAGAGGCAGAACATCATGCTAATTATTGGAAACTTGTTCGGCAACAGAGTTCAGATATTAAAGAGCTTCTCTGTTGCTGAGTTAACCCCACAATATCCAAGCACCTTCACCAGTGCCGGTTTATTCTAGTGGGACTGTCTGTCGTGTGTGGCTCTGAGTCTTCAGCACATTTTCTGGCATCGCGTGCATCTGAGTCTGTTCATTGGGCAGAGTGGCTGGTTTCCTGATGGGGCTTGTGTTCCAGGGCGGGGAAGAAATGTGTGGCTGAGCCCCAAGGGATGTGCTCTTTCTACCCTGCTTGTCTCCATCCCACTGAGATCCCATCTGGGACAGAGGATTCCGTTTGTCCAGCATCTGATGTCCCTGGCTGTTGTGGAGGCGGTCAGGTCCATTCCTGAGTACCAGGTAGGTGCAGTTCCTCAGCATTACACCCCCCAACCCTGCAAGCACATCTCAGTTCAATTTGTTTGTCGTCTGTGTCTGAAGGCTGGCTGCTCACAGAGCCCCAGCCCGCTCTTTGCAAAGGAGCAGCGGAGTGATCCTGCGGTTTTCAAAGCACTGTCAGGTTTATAGCTGCTTCAGGCCTGCTGGAACGTGTTTCCCAGAATTCCTTTTCTGTCCTGTTGTCACATTTCTCAAACATCCTAGTTCCATGCCTCTTTTTTCTCTTCTCTTTTGACTGAAGCACATTGGACTGGATGGGGCCATATATGTGTTGTGTTTTCTGGTGAAAAGGCTTATTTATAGACCTAAACAAACCTCCTCATTTCCTACCTTCATTTGCCACAGTCTGTGCTCAGCAAAGCTATCCTTTGTCTACAGCTGCCCTTGTGCCATGTGCATGTTCATTTGGGGCCATCTGCCCCCAGCTGTACGGACAGATGTGCCTGTTTCATCATGACTTTCGAATGCTTTGGTGTCAGTTATTAAGAAGACAACGAAAAGAGAGTAGTTAACACAGTCAAGAAGCCTTTCTCCCTTTCCCTGGGCTCCACTTACTGACTCCCCCTCCTCCTTTCTCCTGGAAGAATTTCACATGGATGTAAGAAAGAGGTTCCTCCCCAGCCTCCCTCCCACCTACATGTGAAGCTAAAAACAATGATTGTATTAATTCCTGAAGCAACATTTTAAGATCAGGACTTTCAAAGGGGGCCTGTCTTGGGGATTTCAAGGAAGAAGCAGTCCTTCCACTGCCCCTAAGCTCCTCCGACGTGGCCAGGTCTTCACAGTCGCAGAATGCAGGACTAGGGTACGTGTTTCGTGTTACGTCAAGTCACTGGCACGCACACCGAAACGTGACATTTATCCCCGGGTTCTCAGCATCCTTGCTGTGTCTGATGGGCTTGGTCTCATCAGACTGTCAACAACCTTCACAGGTCCAGCCTGCAGTCCCTGAGCTGGACGTCTCACCCTGCACCAAGCAGTTGAGAAGTTAAAATTTTGTTCTGGGGGAAAATATTTTTAACTGTAGCAATAGGTTCATTAGTCTTAGGAAAATATATTACAAATTAAAATTAAATTAGTCTGTTTGGCTTGATTTTTACCTTGCAGCCTCACTTGTTGGCTTAGGGAGCATTCTGTGAGTGCCTGCAGTGTGCAAGGCTCCACAGGTGCAGGGCAGCTGGCTAGGGAGGTGGGACGCTTGTCCTCCACAGTGGACCTGGGCACATGTGTCCCCCATTCTCCTTAAGAAGCTCCCACCAAAGTTCCTGTCCCATTTCTGCCATCATCCAGCTCAGTCTCATCTGTATGGTTTTTGGATTGGATTTATTCTTATTTTATTTCATTTTCAGTTTTATTGATATCATTGACATGCTGCTGTGTATAAGTTTAAGGCATACAGTTAGCTTACACAGTACAACTATAGGATGGTTGAAATAGGCCCCTGTTGCCTAGGATTGGCCTTTTCTTACGTCCTTCCCAACTTGTCCCCAGCCAGATGTCATCTTCAGCACACACACTGTGCCCGGCCTTCCTGGACCAGAGGCAGCATCGGTGGAATGCTCGCCATTCCTTCTGGAACCCTCTCTGGGCTGCCTGCTCTTCCTCCTGTTGTCTCTTCTGCCCTCGAGGTTCCGCTGGGCTCCTCCCACCCGCACATCCCCGTTCCTGCTCTCTTCTCTGTACCTCCAAGTCCCGTTCGCCCTCGGAGGCCCAGCTCCAGTGCTGCTCCTGGAACCTTCTAGCTATGGACTCCCCCTCCTCCGACACCCTATGGCACTTTAAACACCTGGGCCACTTTCGTGGTCCCTCCCAGGGACTGCTTGGAAGCAGGGTTATTTGTACTCCAGTTCTATCTCCTACAAATTCACCAGCTCTCTGAACGCAGGATTAGTTTTGTTTTGGTCCCCAAAGAGCCTAGCGCCGTGCTTTCTACATGGAAAGCCTGTAGCAGCTGTTTGAATAAAAGATTGAGACAGTGAGAAAGAAGCAGTTAGACTTTCTCTTCGTCTTGGAATAGATGTCCTTGTTTACCTGCGTGAGAACCCAACATTTCGTAAGTTCAGGTCTAGTTTCATAACTCGACCTGAAAATGTGAAGTGAAACAGGAGCCCAAGAGCAGAGACTGTGCAAAAGTAAGCGACTGCCCCCGTGATGGGGGCGCTGTTCCCAAGCTTCCGCAGGGACGGGGCAGGCCGCGGTAGGACGTGGGCCGCTGAAAGAGGACAAAGAAGAGGTCTCGGGAGAGCGACCAGGACCAGAGTTTCCAAGTTACAGATTTTTCTAGACCAGCCTTTCTCACTCTCAGCACTATTCACATTTGAGCCCCTACATCTTGGCTGCAGGGCCACCCTGTGCATTACAGGCTGCAGACCAGTACTGGTGGCCTCTCCCCACTGGATACCAATAGGATTCCTTCAAGCTGTGACAGCCTGAATCGTCTCCCAATATTGCCAAATGTCCCCAGGAGGGCAGACTCCCCACCCCCACTCCCCCACTGAGAACCCTTATTTTTTTTAACTTTTTTTTTTTACTCTTTTTTTGGGAGGGGGGATCATTAGGTTTGTTGGTTTGTTTGTAGGAGGTTCTGGGGATTGAGCCCAGGACCCTGTGCATGCTAAGCATGTGCTCTACCACTTGAGCTACCCCTCCTTGCCCCAGAACCCCATTCTAACCAGAGAAGAACTAGGAGGCTCCCCATCCTAGGACAGATGCGCTTCTAAAGGACAGGAGCACATTCTGTGTGGCCGAGGTGAGGAGAAGGCCTGCTGAGGGGAGAGGAGGGGGTTGCCTGGAAGCAGCAGGTGGCAGAGCAGGGTGTTAAGCACCTGGGGCCTTGGCGTCAGAAAGCCCTACTCTGCCACTTGCAAGAGGTGCAGCCTTAGGCAAGCCAGGTAGTCTGTAAGCTTCAGTTCCTTCCTTTGTTAAATAGAGATGACGCTGGTTCCAACACTTGGTTTGGTCGAAGTGCTGAGCTGGGGCTCGGCCCCCAGCCTGCCCCCAGTGAAGGAGGAGCCAGCCCTGTGGGGCTGAGAGGCCATTAGCTACTCTCTGGTCTCCTGGTTTTATTTTGCTGAGTGTCTCTCCTTCAGCCTCACGTGTCCAGATGGGCTTCCTCTACCTACAGCATGGCGCCACCTGGCTCCCAGGCCCAGGCCCAGGTGAAGTGGGAGGAAAGGGGCAGGGCACAAGCACTGAAGGACTGACACTCCCATGGAGGACAGGACACACTGGTTAGAACCAAGATGGCGGAAGATCTGACTTCCAGTAGACCTTGAGCCTCACAGCACATCCACCGGTGCCAGGACAGTCCCCAGGCTGACCAGAAAAGGTTAAAAAGTGTGTGGGGGGCTGCATTTCCTGGAAATCCTCACCCCTTCCTCAAGGTGGTTGGAGTAATCCTCCTGCACGTTAGCATGTAAAATTACCCAGCCCATAAAACCTAACAACCCCGCACCCCGTGGTCGCTCTCGCTCTGTCGCGCTCGCCTTCTGAGACGGCCCGCACTCTGTCTATGGAGGGTGTATCTGCTTTTACTCTAAGCACCGCACACCTCTCGGCTTCTCTCCCTCTCAGCTTTCTGAGATGGCCCACATTCTGCCGATGGAGTGTGTGTCTCCTAAGCCATCTTCCCTTCTGAGTGAGACAGACTGCACTCTGTCTGTGGAGTGTATATCTCTCTAAATAAACTTACTTTCACTTTACCATGCCTTACTCTTGAATTCTCTCCTGCGCAAGGCAAGAACCTATTCTCCCCTAAAACAGGAGTCCTGGCAGTTCTGGTGCTCATTGAGTCTCACCCAGTCTGTGTGCCCTAACTTCACAATTATGGCAAGAGGTGGGGGTCTGGTTGGCCCAGTTCAAGGCAGTGTCCATCCTTGGACCATTCCACTGAGACCGAGGCACAGGCAGGGTTGCCCAGGCCACAGCCTTCAGGAGGGAGAGGGAGTAGGCCATAGACAAATCCATTTCTGTCACCCAAGCTGACTTTTGGCAGTCCTTGGAGACTTCTCATAACTCAGTAGGATGAGTTCCTACTCTGTATCTGCATAGCATTCTACTCAACAGTCCTACTTGACTTTTACATTGGTGGTTAATTCATAGCCAACTTTCTCTTGAGCATGAGCCCCTTAGGAGAAGAGAGCCCTGAGACTACTACCCTCGCACTGCCCCCAGCCCCCAGCACACGACGGTACTCCGCAGTGATGGCTGCTGATACTGAAATAATGAACTTAATCCACAAGAGAGGCGTCTTCAGAAAGTGTTTCTGATGATGATGAACAGCAGCGGTGGGGGGTGGGGGAGGGCCCTGGGAGAGCTGAGTGTTTTCTTTAGGTCTCTTTCCCTCTCACCCCAAGAGGTACTTTCATATTGATTGTTCTAAGGAAGTGATTAGCTGTCTGAAAAAAGAGGAGAGGATGAGACCCCATGTTCCATTTATTTCAAGAGTATTCTGCTCATCTTTTATTTTAGCTGGATGACCTCTCCTGATCCCTTTGTGTCCTGTGACTACTTGATTAATATGCAGATTTCCCTTTAGGATATCAACTTACGAGTGAAATGGCCCAACGATATTTATTACAGTGACCTCATGAAGCTTGGTGGAGTTCTGGTTAACTCAACACTTATGGGAGAAACATTTTATATACTTATTGGTAAGTTTTTTAAAAGCCTTTCCCCCAGAACTTTTAAATTAATAAAAATAAAAATAGTTCACACATGGCTACATTAGGGGGAGTGGATTATCATATGGGGTTACTTTTTCTTTGCATCTTGAGCTATGGAACAGAACATGTGTGCAAGACAGACCAGATTGGTAGAAAGCCCTTCTAAGGGTTTTAGCATTCCTGTCTTTGGCCATGGACACCACCCAAAGGGTATCTCATCAAACAGACTTTTTCTTGTACTTCTCCACACTCCTGCTTCTCGTAGAATTAGAAATGGTGAAAATAAACATTTAATATATTATTTGGTAATAAGAAAAGAAAGTTAATTTCAAGGGTGGGTGTCCTGGCAGTCTCTCTTCCACTCTTAATCTGCCCTTCCCAGGCCATGGAAAAGTTGCCTCCTTTTTGACCTTCAGAAGAAGCTCCAGGCTGGTGAAAGTGGAGTAAAGAATCCCCGTTTCACCCCAGCACATCCTTATCAGGCAAGGAAATGGATTCAGAAGCAGTTTCAGACGTTCTTAGGTCCCTGGTCACCCAAGCATCAGCTTCTCCCTGTTGCCCCGGAGAGCTTGATTGGTGTTCGAAAATCAGTAATGGACAGAAAACATGTGATTGCGTGTTGGAAGTGCCAGCCAGCCAAAGAATACAAGGCTTATGTCTCCAGCCCTGCTATCAATAGGCAGTATTATTCTGGGCAAGCCACTTCATACCCTCAAAGCTCCGTTTCCCTTCTGTAAGTGAGGAACTGGGCTGGATGCGGAGATTCATCAAGGAGGGCCCACAGATATCAAGGAGGCCCAACGATGGCTTCAGGGAACCAAGGACTCCTATCAATGTGGGAGAGACGAAACATTTCCCTGTGGGGGAGAATCCATAGCTTTTATTAAAGTCTTAAGGCCATGGGAGGTGGGTGGGGGACAAGGAGCATCTTTGGGGAAAGAGTCAGAGTCACCAGCAGGGCTGCTATCTGGCCCCTGGGAAGACACAGTGGAAGCTGACAGTCGTCCGTGTTGCTGTTTCCCCCAGGACTTTGGATTTTCTGAGTGCACGGGAGATTTTTCAGCACTGTACACACCTAACTGAATGCTTTGTACAGCCACTGTGTATGTTGAATGAAAGAACAAATGAACAAGTGCAGAGTCTGCCCCTGTTGCTATGGTTACTTGTTTTTTCCCCAGATGTAACTTACATTGTTTTGTATTATTAAAATACAGTAACCAGTATATTTTTAAAAAATAATAATAATCTGAGGCCAATCAGTCTTTCCCTTCACACTGAAAATGGCTCAGAACATTTACCAAAAAATACTGTTATTGTAAATGTCACTGTTCTACCTGAGGTGAGTATTTGGGGACTTTTTTCTCAGAGGCCCTGGGGAAACCACAGTCTTACCCCCTTGTTCTTGCAGTATTTCATTTCTTATTGAAGACATCTTTGAGTTTGATTCAGGGCCGTGCTGAAAACTAAGGGTTCAGCTTTTCTGAAGACTAACCTCTCCTGCAGAGGATGGTGGTGTTCAGTAACAGCTGAGATAAGCTGGTAACTCGCTCTCCCGAAGCCGTGGTAGAGGGGCCTATAAAAGAGCCACTGAACATGAGCTGGCCCTTTGCCAGCGGCGTAACCCTAGCACCAAAGACTTCCAAGGATCAATCAAGTATTAAGAGATGTGTTTTAGGTTTATGCCATGGCCAAGGTCTGAAATCTCTGAATCCAGAGTTTACTCCTTAAGACCTGAATAAAATGCTTTATTTTCAAGCATGTGTTCTGTTATTCAAGTAGAAAAAAGAAACAAGAGATTTTCTTTTATATCATGCTCAGCACAGAGCTACAGTGCTTGGCTAGACCACCTGAGGAATCGTTTCAGAAGCAACTCTATTTTATCCCATTCGTAGCTTCTGCTTAATTGAATCAAGCGTGGCTTGCTTTTTTCCCAGCTTATTTGCTCTCAGGGTGGGATGGTCCTGGGAGACAAGGATAATAAAGGAAGGGTGAAAAAGGAAGATGGGCTCAAAGACCTAAGTCACTCTCTAGGTAGCCGGAGAAGAGAAGCTCAGTGTGAGGACAAAGAAGCAGGAAGTCAGCACAGTGAAAGCTGTAACTCTGTCCGGGTGGTTGAGAGAAATATGCGATGCCTTCAGTAGGTTGAGCTGCTCATGCTTTCAATTGCTTGTTTTCGTCCAGGCTGTGGATTTAACGTGACTAATAGTAACCCTACCATATGCATCAACGATCTCATCACAGAATACAATAAGCAACACAGGGCAGGACTGAAGCCCCTCAGAGCTGATTATCTGATCGCCAGAACTGTGACCGTGCTGGAGAAACTGATGGACACGTTTCAGGATGAAGGGCCCAATGGCATTCTGCCTCTGTATTATAAATACTGGGTCCACAGGTCAGTGCTGGCTTGTCTTCATCCTTTTACAATTCCTTTTTTAAGTCAGTAGTTTAATACCTTAAAATGAGAAGTTAAGCACTGGTCTAGATAATTATTTTTTATTTTACTGATGGATAAACCTGGTAGATGTCACCTTGAGCAAGTTAGCAGCCCAGCGACAGGGATGAACTGGCATCCCGTGCCTCCAGGTGGGGTGCCCTGGGAGAACACAACATCACTGGAGATTTTCCTCCCTGGCATGTTGAAGCTGAATCTAATTGTGAGGAAACAGGCAAGTCTAGATTGTGGAACATTCTAGATAACGATCGTTTTCCAAGTGAGATCCCCAGGGGGGCAGCAGCAGCCTGGCCTGGGAACTTGTTAGAAATGCAAATTAACAGCTCCCATCCTGGACTTCCTAAATCAGAGACTCTGAGGCTGGGGCCCCACTTCAGTGTTTTAACAAAGGCTCCCGGGGATTCTCAGTTTGAGAAGTGTACCAGCCGGCCTCTGCTCCTCAATGTCAGTGTCTTAAAGACAAAGAGAAGGTGGGAGATTTTCTGAGATTGAAGGAGAGTAAAGAGGCATGACAGCTTATTGCAACATGTGATTCATAATCGGGCCCTGGAAGGAAGGAAATAGCCACAAAGATATTAATGGGACTTCTGAACACGGTCTATATATTAAATGATGTTATTGTATCAAGGTCAGATTTCTTGAGGGTGACGATGATATTCTGGTTTTGTAGGAGATTGTTCTTATTCTTTAGAAATAACATGCTGAAGTATTTAAGTATACAGTGTCATGATGCCTGCAGCTTATTTTTAAATATCAGCCAAAAACAAACAAACTATGTACGTGTGTAAAGAGAGCAAATATGGAAAATGTTATCACTTGGTGTGATTTGTAAGTGAAGGGGGAATATGAGATTCATTGTACTATTTCTCAGCTTTGCTGTAGGTTTGAAATTCTTCAAAATAAAAATTGGAGAGGTACAGACTCTATACTTTTACATCTCTTAACGAGGATATAAGGCAATAGATGCATTTGGAAAATATTTAAAAGAAGTAGAATTAGGTTGAGTTTAGTTTATAATTGATGCTACTCAACTTGATTAAAGTTTTCTTTTAACTCTGCCAAAAAGAGGCCAGTCTCAGCCAAAAATCCTAGAGGGTTGCACAGCGTTGTTTCGTTTTGATTCCCCCCATCCCCTGAGTGCTAGAGGGTGAGGAAGTAGGGCAAATACCGTCATCCCAGGGGATCAGAATTCGGAGTGCCATTGCTTATAAGAGAAGCAGTTACAACTAACTCCCTGTTGGACTTTGCATCGCCCTGGTTATTCTCGTAGCTATCATAACAATTCAGGCGGGACCCTGAAAGTCAGAGCTCAGACTCAGATGCATTTTAACGCTATCTGGCGCAGCCCCCTCCCCCACCACCCCGCACCCCTTCGCATAGTGGATAATTACCTACCTAATTGTCTCAAGCCAGTGTTACTCCATTTCCCGGTGACGGTGACGGGTCTGTTCCTCATTTCAGTGCTCAGCAAGTCAGTCTGGGAAGCCCGGAGGGACCAAAGGTGTGGATAGTCGGCCTCGATGATTCCGGGTTCCTTCTGGTTCACCAGGAAAACGGCAAGGTGATGACTGTGCATCCTGACGGCAACTCCTTCGACATGCTGAGAAACCTCATCGTCCCCAAACAGCAGTAGTCCCCGCGCCTGCGCCAAGGCCTGGGGCCTCCCCGGGCCGCTGCTGAGAGGGGCTGGGGCTGACACGTGTGCAGAACCACCACAGAAACATTCCCGTTTGATTTCTGCCACCTTTCCTAGCCCGTGGATCTGGAAAACTAATGCAGAGTTGTAGGCGATTTTTCTCTCCCTCTGATTAATCAGTTAATTCTTTAATTTTGTTCTGTCGCCATTTTATTTGGTGTTTGAAGATGTTTGGGTGGAGGGTTGACAAGTGAAGGTTTAGTTTAGGGAAAAGCCCTGCCGTAGGTGTGACATAGTTCCCCCCCTCTTGGACTTGGATGTATGTTCATTGCCCCCCCCCGCCCCCAAAAAAAGTTTTTACATGGAAACAGCAATGGCAATGGGATAATTCAAATGTTTTCCCAGTAGTGGAGATCTTTACCCCTAAACTGTGAAAAACAAATTAAAAAAAAAAAAAGCTTTCGGGCCAGAGTTTGAGGTATGATAACACTGTTTACGAGCATCCAGGGAGGCATTTTCCTACAGGAGCACAGACTGGCACTTAGTCATCATTTTATTTTATTTTTTGTTAATGAAGAAAAGAGCAGGTTGACCTCTAAGAGCTGTTCTTAGCTCGGTGGCTTGTGGCCCAACAACAGTCTGAGTGGCTCCAGAGACGCACAGAGTTGAGGAGGATGCAAGGACCTTGCAGAAGAAATCAGTTCATTACCTTGACGTTAATTAATGAGCTTGCCTTTCATAAGTTTTAAGTTTACTGGGTATTCTGAAGTGATGGGATCAAGTTCAAGATCCTTAAAGCGTTGATTAGGCACTTGCTTGGATGTGACGGGGGATGATTTGGCTCTAACAGCTGGAGATGACGTCTGGCTCTCATACTGCACGCAAAGGAGGATTTGGAGCTTTTAAGCCAGCTTCAGGCTTGCTTTGAAATGCAGAGCATTCCTGCAGGCCTGTGCAGGGCACAGAACATAGAAGTACATGGCATTTTTATTTGTAAGTCATTTTCTTTTTTGCCCCCTTTTTCTTATATTGCCAAAAAAGAAAATGTTATTGATACTGAATACCATCAGTTAAGAGGACAGATGTGTGTGTTTGTGTGTGTGTGTGAAGCTTTAAAAGAAGATGTTCAAAATCTGATGCCCTAAGAGTCTCTGTGGAAGAACAAAAGAAAGGAAGCCTTTTGATATACATGTGCTGCTTCCAGATGTAGTCCATGCTTTCTCCATGTAACTCCTCTCTCTGTTGAACTTGAGAATCGTACACGTAGCTTTTCAGCCTAAAAAGGCCAATTTCTGTCCTCTTGTCTCTCTTCATGCCCCCAAATGAAATTAGTGGAAAGAAAACTCGAAGAGGCTCTCAGCTTTGAACAGAATCCCCTTAGTGCACACCAGCACCCTCTGTCCAGCTTTCCCCAGTCAGGCTAACTCCAGAAACGTGTGGTTTTCAGTATAAAAATCTGTCTACCTTTAGCCAGGCACAGGCAGCCCCATAGGAAGGAAAAAAATAACATGTTTAGTTAAGTACACCAACCCAATATGTGTGTTTTGGAAATGTAACTTTAAAAGAACTTCAGAAGCAATTTTTGCAAATAAGGCTTCAATTAGAATTATTCTTAAAAAAAAACCACGCTCTCCTAAATGCCCACGTCTAAATGTAAGTTTAAGTAAAAGTCTGTATCACCCCAAAATTGCAAAATGGACTCACCCTGGAGAGGGCATCTGCAAAATATCATCCGGAAGAAAGATCTCAGGCTAATGTTGCAAGTTTCATTTCTTAAACTTTGTAATATAAGGCAAGTCATCTCTCAGAGCGGCCGTCATTACTTTTTGAATTTCTTTGGGGGGTTATTTAATGAAAAACATGCTCTCATTTGTTTTAAGCTGAAGTCCTATTCTAGACAGCCTGCTTTGGGGGGGGAAGTGTTATCATTTAATTTCCTTTTGGTAAATTAAAACTAATGAAGTGTGGCCATGTCAAAGCAGACGGAGATGCTCCGGGCGTATCGCTTCGCCTCTGTGTTTTTAAGACCGTTCTTACTTGTGCCCACACCCAGTTGTCTTGAGGGAGACAAAGTAGACTTGGAGCAGATGCTGCATTTTTCATAAACCTGATTTTGCCTCAAATGAACCAAAGACTTTGGAAATTCTGCTTCGTATAGAACAGCTGAATAAAGGCATTTTACTTATATTTTTAGCATTAGGGAAACGTATCTACTTGCTACACTGCACTCATCAATTTGAGGTGTTTATGAACCTGGCAATCTACGATCTCAAAGAGCTTTGAAGTCTTAATGGAAACGTTGCATTTTCTTCTTAATCTTTACAACACAGCACCTAAACTCAGGATTGGTGTGTGCTTTTGGGATATTTGTATTGTGCCCCAGTTCAGAGGCTGTGCACTGAGCAACCATCAGGTTAAGTTAAAAGGCAAGACACCTTCCCGTCTGGGCTGGTCACAAATTTCAGGGGAACTCTTGAGAAGTGCCCCCTAAAATAGGACACAGCAATAGCTGGGCTTCCAGTGCCCCCCCAACCCCCCCAGCACTGGTCATACTGGTCATCCTAGCAGCATTTACAGTGTAGGAGCAAAGTCAGAAGGATTTGTGTCTGGTGGGGTTTGCTGCTGTGGCACACTGCCTGCCGGATGTGGGAGCAAGTGGCCCAGGAGGGGTGGGAGCACAGGCCCAGACTGAGATTGCATGCAGCTTCCCACCCTCACCCCCCACCCCATACACACACGGGAGCACTATGTGGTCACCCCTCACCCTAGGGTCCTGGAACCGGGAGAGAAGCCAGCCTCACCCAGCAGTTGCAGTATGCATAAGGGAGACGTTTTAGGCTCCCATTCTGTAGATGTGTTTGCTCTTCACTGGCAAAGAATGGATAATTGTTATTCCTGGGTAATTACTATGCATATTTGAAATAAAAGAGTGTTAAACCTTTGCATTTTTAGCTTTTCAAAGTATCATCTCTGAAAAGTAATGACTTTAAACCTACGCCTATAAAAAGCAAGTCTACCAAAATAAAGTTTAAGACTTTCTATATAGTTTGGATTCACTGTTATTTTTTTTAACCACCTTTTATTTGTAAAAATAAGCAACTACTTTTGGTTACAGAATTTTTTTATTCATATTTAAACATTTTAAAAATAAATAGTTTTACATAGTAAGGAATATTATTTATTTCTAAGTACTAAGAAGCTTTTTTTGATGGATTTTTGACAGATGTATTATGTGTCGTACAAAAGAGAAATCTTATTACTCCAAAGAATGGAAGTTAGCAAAACTCCAAAGTTTAAAACAAAAATCAACTGAGGTGAGAAATTAATAATGTAAATTTTAAAATTAGGAAATAAATTGAATGTAACAACAAATTTAATAGAACAGATACTGTTCTTGTCAAATTATTCTTACTCTTTTGTGAAAACTGCTTGACTTTTGTCTTGACAAGTGTTTCCCCAAGATTTTTACTTTATATTTCATACTTAAGTTTAGGAAGAGCTTGAATAATGCATCTTAGATAACCCAAAGGCTACGATTCACTACAATTTTAAGCTACTGCAATTTTATGGCATTTATTTGAAAATGCTCCTTTTATTCCATTTTATCTGTAGCAGCCCCCACAGTCTACCTTAACTGTCTTACAGTTACAAGTCTACTTTGGGTAGACTTTATACAGGATCCACTGACAGAGTAAGCCTCTCCCACCCGCAGGATCCAAGGCAGGAAGGCATGGCCCATAGGACTTAAAAGGACCCGAGGGGTGGGGGTGAGGGAGCCGATTTGCTCGGAGCAGCCCTTCACACCCCGTTCACTTCTCTACAAAGGTATGAATGGAATGGCTTTTCTAGAAAGGGCGTCCATGAACATAAAGGAATTCCTTTCCCTGGGAGGCCCAGTGGAGGGAGGGCCAAGCCAATCTTAAACTGGGCTTATTTCTCAAATCCATTTGATCTGGCGTTTTTGTCAACATGTTAGGACTCACTACAATTTTTTCTTTTTTGTGTGTGAAAGAGAGGCATATATATTAAAATGCTTCCTCTTCCTCGGCCAGAGCCTCACAGAAGTCAAGAAAGAAACAAGATCCCCAGCTTAAACGTACAGACTGAAAGGTGGAGGTAACAATATTAGGTTGCCATAGTAACTGTGCTGTTAACTTTGCACGGAGCTGCTGGCCGCCCGGAAGCCAGCTTGTATAGGAATCTTCCTCCATGTTCTAGGCTATGAAAACTGATGTTTGTTCAGGCAAGGACGTTTTTCCTTGGTACACATTTTATTTTTGAAGTACATACACACTCATGGTTAAGCCTATTTGTGTTATCATTTATAAATCTGTAACGGTCTTCTTTCCTAACAGTAACCTTTGATCTTAAACTGCTCTGAAAGCCTTCATGCTTTGTATTTACTGTGTACAGCACCCCCCACCCACCCGATGGCTAATAACAAGGTCAACACAAAAGCATTTATGGTACTTTATTGGAAAATGTCAGGGGATATCTCTTGTTCATCAAACCTGCACCGTCCAGGAATCATGGTTTAGTTACGGGTCTTGTCAGCATAAAAATAATACCCCAGGCTTAGTTTCTGTGTGCACACACTCCCAAAAAGCTGCTCATGACGTATGGCTAAGTGCAGCGTAGACGTGTATGCATTCAATTCTTACGACTCTGCCTCTTTACTGCAAGACACACGTTCCTAAATTTGCAAATTGTAAGGTAAGGCAAACTTACACCGTGTTAGGGGACGAGGCAGGTCCTCATAGTGATACTGGCTTGGCAACAGATCATTTCACATTTTGAGAACAGCTGATATAGGTGAACTTTGATTCTAGAACAGAGACTTAAAAGACATTTATGAAAAACCTTTCCCCTCAGAAAGGTGGGTATAGTTTCCTAAAAGTAAACCGTCTTTGAAAAAGCAGAAAATGATGGAGTGTTCAGTGTGCAGCAGATTGAAAGATGGTGGCTGGTTCAATACACTGATCCACTTCAGAGCCATTGTAGGATTTTTAAATGGTGAAATCTTGAAGCAAAGTATAAAAATAAATGGAAATTAATGGAAGTTTATTTTAAAAACACTGCTGGTGCTTTATAAAAAGATTTGTTTACCTGTTACACACATGACATGTTCATAGGGAGTTTTCTTGCCCTGTATAAAATGCAGAAAATGCTGAAGACAATGTATACATCATTTTCGTTACATCCCTTTAGCATGTTTTCTTCCACGAGGCACAGTCCATTGACAATTTTCCATATTGCACATGCAATTTAACTAACTTTATTAGCACTACTTGTAGCAAACACGAGCCTAGGGAATTGCAGGTGTGGGCCGGAGGGATTCTGCCTTGTCATCAAACTTGATGGGGTAGCCAATCCATTGGGCATCTCAATCATCCACATGTCATTCTCATAAAATACCTGGCTATATAGATTTTTGCATTTAATGCCTGTTCCATATATTCTAAAGGTGCTATTCTTGGTGGTATCAAGAGTTCACATGGGTTAGGAGGCAGTAAGAGCTCGTGACTTGTGGAGCACACCCACGTCCACCCCCTTGGTCTCGGCTTGTTGATTTTCGTATTAAAGAAAGGGTTAAATTAAAACGACTTTTAATGAGACTCATGAATGACTTTTAAAGACAGCGGAGTTGTCCAAAATTCATGGGGCTTAAATCATCACATTCAGCCTTGACTGAAGAATCTAAACGGGCTCTGAGTACCGGAGGCTTCCTGTCTCCCGGTCGGCCACCCGCCGGCGTAGCTGGCTGTATCAGCGCGGGCTCTCCTTCTTAGAGCGGAGGGCTCCTTCAATCCCCCGGAGGGGCTGTTACCGAGCATCGGGGACAAGGCAAGGGGCGCAAGCCTGATTTCAAGGTGAGGAAACCAAGTCCCCCCAAAGACAGAGTAGTGGAGGCCACACGTGGGACGTCGGGGACGCTCAGCTACCCCTTTCGGAAAACCTGGCTCTCGGAGAACGCAGGTCGGGCGGTCACGTCTCCCCAGCATCGCCGTGTCTCCGTCCTCTACACCGGCGTTTATGGCATCTACGGTACAAATCTAAAGTCGGCGGCAGAGTTCTATTAAAATAGTTGTCTCTGTATAAATTAATTTAAATCGTGCATATACAG